AACTCACACTTTAGTATTATTATAACTCCACAAGGCTGAGAGTATACTGCTCATGTCATGTTCAGTAAGTATTAACAACTACAACAACAAGGATATAAAACAAATAGGGATATCAAATGCCAAAAAAATCCATATGAAGAGAATTAGGGAAAACAAATAGGTGTTAAAAAAATTAAAAAATTAAAAAATTAATTCTGAGAAACACGAACACTTAAAAATTAAAAAATTACTATCAGATGAATTTAATTAAAAAAATAGTGAAGTACAGTGAGAAGAATGACATACATAGGTGTTTGAACAAGGTCCCTAGCTGAAATTTGGAGAAGAAGGAGCGCAAACTCAGTAGAGTTCCAAACACAGGTTTGTGGTTGATTCCAGTTGTAGGGCGCCCGGTCGAGAGAAGACAGAGTAGGTTGTAGGTCTCAAGACTGGTGTTGTAGGTTGTACAACCTCTGATCCCAAAGGCATACACCCCAATCACCTAAAACGATGCAAATACATTCATGTAGGTTATTACTGATTTAATTACGAGAACAAATCAAAGAAAAGCTTGACTATTATAGATGAATTTATACATTTATACGATTTTTTTACAATAGTTTATTCTTTATACAAAAGAGTATATGAAACTTTCATATAATGAAAGCAACTGTTAAAAAACTTCAGTTCATTTAATACCTCAGTTTGTGTTAAACTCTTCGTTGATAGTTTATTGATCATAGTTAAAATAATAGTTAACTATTATTTAGCTATCATTTAGCTTATTTTGACAGTAGTTAACATCTTTCTTATTGAACATTTCAGTAGCAAAACTTCAGTTCATTTCAACAATGATTATTTAACTAATAGTTAACTAATAGTTAACAATGATTTCTTAAATGAACTGAAGTTAACATTAATCATAGTTAACTTTCAACAAAGAAAGTTTAACACTAATAGTTAACTATTACTGTTAAACTTTTATGATCATTTTTCCACACTAAAGAATGAAAGCAACTGTTAAAATAAGCTAAATGATAGTTTTATGATCAATTTAAAGTTTAAATCATAATAATACAGTAATAATATTGAGTAGCAACCATAATATCTTATAGCAAAACTACTAATAAGAAACAAACTTCAGAAGTTGCGGTGAGATATTTTATACAGTTAAATAAACTAATTCTAAAAATAACATAAAACTGGAAAATCAATCCTTGAGGTTCAATGAAATAAAACACTGAAGAAGATGACAGAGAATTTATACAGTTCAATCAACAAATTCTAAAAATAACATAAAAATAGAAAATCAATCCTTGAGGTTCAATGACATAAAACACTGAAGAAGATGACAGAGAAAACAAGATTACCTTAATTGAGGTCCGTGGCTGAGACCGGTTGTAAGGCTAGAAGACAGAGTAAAGCGGCCGGCCGTATTAAATCATCGGACTAAGGCGTCGGAGTAAGGCTACTGAGTTCGACGACAGAGTACTGCACGACTGGACAATTGATCGATTCTAGCTTTGGACGAAGAATAGTTAACAGCTCGTGACGAACAATCGATCGATTCTAGCTCTGGACGAAGAATAGTTGACAGCTCGCGACGAACTGGAAGAAGAGAGAAGATGATTGATCGGACATGCCCTGGACTGGAATCGTGAATCGGAGGTCTGGATCGAAGAAGAGAGAAGACGATTGATCGATCTAGGGTTTCTAATTGTGCGGCGCGTATAAGTGAGATAAGTGAGATCGGAAAATGATGAGGTCTTAGCTACGTTGTGTAAAAAAATCCCAGTGCGCGTACTTAATTGTAAAAAAAATCCCTCCTATCCGCAGGTATCGAATAAAAAAGTGTCACCATTCGGTTGTGATTTTTTTTTTGTACAAATCAGTGATACTTGTGTGTCATTAATGGTATTTTATTAGAAAGTGTCACTATAAAAGTGTCACTGTAAGCCTGTTTTTTAGTAGTGTGGTGTTACGCTCAATTTAAAATGTTATATCAATTTAATTATATTTCAAAATAATTACTCCTAATACTCAACATAATAAGTCTGATTCTCATTAAAATTTCATTAATGCTCATTCACCAGAAACCGTGATTTTCATCTGAATAGCGAAGGTTTAATGTTCAATTAAAATGTCATGATATTCAACTAACAAATCTTACTATTTTCATATCAATGTGCACTTTGTAAGTTATGTATGCTCATTTGGTACTATTGTGAGCTCATTTTAAAAAAGTTATATCAATGCATATTTATAAAGTATCATACTCTCTTCGTTCCGAAATAGTTGGTCAAAGTTGACTTTCACGTGGATTAATAAAGTAAAAACTGTGTGATTGAAATTTGTGCAGAGGAGAGAGAATTAGTTTTAGCCACATATTCCTTACTTTAAATGGAAATGACAAATCTTTTTGGGACATCCAAAAAGGAAATTTGACCAACCTTTTTGGGATGGAGGGAGTATTACATTAGACTCCCATATTGAAATTAATAGGGGTGGATTATAGATATAATTAAACAAGTTTTTGTAAGATAAAAACTAAGAAAAAGAAATAGAATTAAAAGATATGAAGCAGAGATCGTGATACTCATTTTTTATAACTTGATCAAAAAATCACAACTCCTGCTAAATGAGCAATATGGTACTTTTAGTGAGTATCTCACCTGTTTTATTGAGTATTACAAACGTGAATTTTGTGATATACTAAAATTCAAAAGCTCGTTTGAATTTCCTAATGTGTTCAAATGTTCATTTGTGCACACATAATGACAAATATAATAATTTATATTAAAAATAATTTATAGTCGTTTGTTCTCGAATTACAAATATAATCGAGTTCTTTTTATAATTTTTTACCAATGCATACTTGTTGAGTGTAAATCCCGTAGATCCGAAAGCCCAACACGAACTTTGGATATATCAGGAATGACACAGAATCAAAGTGTATAAACAAAATATAAAATATGAACTCACTAATACTCGAAAACTCACTTATATTAACTAACCAGTCTGATTACAAGGAATTTCCCGATCGGTAGGTCGGAAACAATGCTTTAATACAAGAAATAAGAACAATGATGCTATTATAGAGCCTGAGTATTGAAATGCTAACCCTTACAATGACTTAAAACCTTCTATTTATACTAATAGAGAGCATGGGCTGCCCTATGCTGATTGGCCGTTGTTCCACTGACTTGGTCACCCATGTTTCCACTTGCTGATGTCACAATCTGGCATTAATTGCACCTGGCCACTTGCCGGTTGGCCGTTGCTCGAACGGGATGTTGGGCTATGCTGAAGATGCTGTCAAATTGGCCCAAGTATAATATATAGTCCGAACTCCGTTCGGTATGTCTTCTTACTGGGCCAACCCTTATTTGGGCCGAATCGCGTTCGGCATTAATTCTATCTTGATTATCTTATCATAGCGTGATGGGCCCGTTGCTTGGGCCGGGTATCTTGGGCCTTCCTGACCCGGGTATTGGGCCTCTGGATCAATATCCCAACAATACTTATTTTACACCATACTCACTTTAGTATAACACAAAACTCACGTTTGTAATTAACACATTACATTTAATAAACTAATAAATATTCACCTTAAATTAATAGTAGAGAAATAAAACATTAATAACTAAAATATTTTATAATAGATAAATAAAAAAACTTAAGCAGGAAGTTTGATTGGAGAAAGAAAAAAATAAACTGAAACATTTAATAATATTTTATATTATACATTTTCATAATAATTGAATATAACATTAGATTAGAAGGTTGCTAAAAAAAGAGGAAACAAACAAAAACAAGGAAAATGAGAATAAAAAAAAGAAAAGAAAGGAGAATGTAAGTACGTAACTCGCAAGGATGAGTGCCGTTGATAAAAAAACAAGGATGAGCGCAGGAGTGGAGCATGACATGCGCCGGAAAAAGGAAACACTATTCATTCTATTAATTACGAAAAAAGGGTGTACATGTACACCCGAGTGTAGGATATATGAACTGGTACGAAAAGGAGTGTGTGGCCGTTGATATATATCCCACATCGAAATCTATATAGACTTTAGAAATGTTTATGAAACCACTTTAAAGATCACTAAATGTCATTGATATGCTAGTTGGGTTCTAGTCAGCTTTAAGTTTTCCAAATCTCCCACTATCTAATACATAAATATTAAATATTTATATTGTATATTATATATTGGGAGATTTGGAAAACTTGACACATATTAGAATATTACTAATACATTAATTTTTGGGGGAAAACTATCAAATGAATCTCTATATTATATGAAAAACAATTAAGCTCTCGTACTTCAAAAACACCCAATCAAACCTCGAAGCCATAAAAAATGCTCAAATTAGCACTTTTGAAGGTCACCTCCCGATTTTTCGATATAAATTGCTTATATGGATTGTTTGGCAAGTTTTTAATTTTTTTTAAAATATAAAATCAATTGAATCCTGCTTTGCAAACCGTACTTTCAGTCTTCCAGCCAGTCACGGAACCGGGTGAAAAAAATTGATAAACATGTTTACAGATTTGAAAATGGAAAACAGAAAAATGAAAACACAAAAATTGGAGATAGAAAAACTGGAAAAATTAAAAACGAAAATTGGAGAACATAAACTAGAAAAGAAAATTAGAAAATGTGTCTGTTAGTAAACAAACCTTAAGTCTTCAAATAACACACCTAATATATTCACATACTCCCTCTGTCCCGCTAAGATTGTCTCATCTTTTATTTTCGACCTGTCGCACTAAAATTGTTCTATGATGGATTTATTTTAATTTGTGTGGTTTAAAATCATTTTTAATTTATTCTTACATAAATTCAATATCAACCACATAAACTTACTTTTTTTAATAATTGTGTCACCTCCTTTTGTTTCAATGTTAGTGGGACGGAAGTAATAGTGTATTAATATGAATTTAATAATAATATGAACGGTAAATAGTAATGATAGCGAAAAACTTCTTACATAAAATATTTTCACAACAAACTTTCTTAAATACAACATTGATTATTACAGTGGTTCTTTTTCCATCTTTGTCACATATAAGTATTTTCAAACCATCGAGATTAGTAATACGCGAAAGAGCAACATACAATTAAATAATTACACATTACTTGAATTTATTAGACTATCATATCATGAATATCAAGTTCCAAAGCACTACATATTAAAAATTACATGATAATTTATGTTCATAACTCTAACACCCATTTTAGAAAATATTTTTAACACATTGCATACCCAATAAATCAAGTGGAAATTACCCGGACAGACCATTTTTATGTATCCCATATCATTTATGTGTCCTCCTATTTTGTCTTTTCATTTATAACTTTTCTATTTTCAATTTTGATTTTTTATTTCACCGGTTACGTCAAATTCCTCCATCTAAACCTCTCCGACTCCTGGCTTCTGTCTCCCACAAACCCCGACCTCTTCTGACCTCCGCCTCCCCTAATGATCTTCCAAAGTCTTCTCGTTGGAGTAGACCACACAACATTTGAAGAAAGGGGGTCATATCTGAGCTTCAACAGGTTGCGATCGGAGCTCTAAATTCACAAGTCGCGAAACACTTTCCAGGATCGATCAATCCCTCCTCAGAACGATCATTCGGAACTAAATCAGAGGAGCGATAGGCGGAATTCATGGCTTTAATCGCCCACTCTAGGTGATTCTGGAATCCATGGGAGGTGGAGGGAGTTTGTCGGTAATCTTAGGGGATGGAATCCATAGGCGTTGCCTTCTTCGACTGGCACCTGAATGATTGCAACAACAGAAGTCGTGTGTGCAGAATTTTCTGAGGAATGTTTTTCAAGCTAAGGTAAAGTTGTATCAACAAAAAGTATGTATGAACAGGGTATTGGCAGCAGTCCGGCTTCCACAATCAAAATTGAAAGTAAAAATACTTGTAAGACGTGTGTGGAAGACGTGTGTGGCTTGCAAGGGAAGTGGAAGGCTAGGTGTTTATCTATTAATCTTTTGTTCATTTTCCTACCAAATGATTCTTTTGACAATGATAACTATATCGTTGATTTATTTTTTGAGAATGAAATAGGGGATTTGAAGGCCGTGAGCATATCAATTTTGAGGATTGAAGGTGTGATTGAACACATAATATTTATGGATATGGCCATCACCGTAATTGTGGCTGAAAAGCTAGGTGTCACCATCACAAACAAATAGGAAAGCTAATAGATGGGCAGGCAGGTGTGGAATAAGATTCACTCTTAAACTTGACATATTACTACGTACTACATCAATTGCTGATCATATTATTTAACTGTCGGCCGGAGTAGTCTTGATTCAGTTTTGTATGATACGACTGCTGGCCGGAGGGAAATCAATCTGTTCTCCATTAACAAACTCATTGTGTTAATATGTTACTGGATGTCTTTTTCCCTAATTGCAGTGACCTATAAAGTTTAACTTGTTGAAAAACAAATGCTTATTTAAAGATGAGATATGCTAAAATTGTTTGTGATAGTCTAATTGAGCAATTGAGCTTTGATAGGGTAAATCTGCTTTTGTTGTTGCACTGTTCTTCTTCCTTTGCAAGTGATTTATTGTTACCATACAAGTATTTAAGATGCTCACAAATTATTCTAGTAGAAGTAAGTTTCAACTGTGTATGATCGTGTTGCCAACAAGATCTAGGCTTCATTTTGATATTGGTATCAATGTCAACTATTATGAAGATCTCCCCAAGGTTTAGTAATGTTTTCCAGAATGAATCTTATATAATAGATTCTTATCTCATTATTGGTTAAGTATCACCAAATCATATAGTTTTGTGCAAAATATGATATGTAGAGTTCTTTGTTTTAATTTCCCATTGATTTTTTCAAAGATTGAGAGTAGACAATTTGTGCCTCTTCATTAGTAATTCACATATTGACTGAGTCAATGTTCAATTTTATTCTTTTTTTCTTATTTTTATCTTCTAGTTGTGGATGTCTTTTTCTTATTCTGTTATATAAGTTTCTTTGGTTTCTCATAATAATTTATCCAATTTGGTATTTGTGTCTATAGCATTCTCAATTGCAGACACATAATAAAAAAGTACATCAAGATGTAAGGATGAGAAAGTTTGACAAGGAAAATGAAGATAGAGGAGACAAACTTGATAAGTTGTGCTAAGGTGCAACATAAAAGGAATAAGAAGTGAGGAGAATCAAAAGCAATAGATGTCATCGATAAATGTAATAAATTGTAACAATAGATTGAATTATACATATTTTGTGATGATTTTTATATGCAGTTTTTGTTTCTCTTTGTTGCATCAAATGTGTTACTTTCTGTTGCATCTTGTTACATCATGTTGCATTTTGTTGTATTTCGTTGCTTATTGTTCTCTATTAATGATTTTCATTTTTGATTTCTATATGACATTGCAGATGAATACTACTTGAATCCTTCTCTTGCTTAATAGATTACCTATCAGCTATCCTGGCAATTTCTAAATAAACAAATCGAATATTGATATTCTAATAGAATTGATGCACAACATTTTTTCTATAAGGTCTGCTCATGCTAGTGTATTAGTAGTGTTGGGATATTGACCTAGAGGCCCAATACCCAGATCGGGAAGGCCCAAGATATCCGGCCCAAGCAACAGGCCCATCACTCTATGATGAATAGATCCAGTAAGAAGACATACCGAACGAGGTTCGGGCTATATATCATACTTGGGCCAATTTGACAGCATCTTCAGTGCAGCCCAACATCCCGTTCGAGCAACGGCCAACCAGCAAGTGGCCAGGTGCAATTAATGCCAGACTATGACATCAGCAAGTGGAAGCATGGATGACCAAGTCGGTGGAACAACGGCCAATCAGCAAGAGGCATCCCATGCTCTCCATTAGTATAAATAGAAGGTTTCAAGTCATTGTAAGGGTTAGCATTTCAATACTCAAGCTCTAGAATAGCATCATTTGCCCTTACTTCTTGTATTAAAGCATAGTTTCCGACATACCGATCGGGAATTTCCTTGTAATCAGATTGATTAATTAATGCAAGTGAGCTTTCGAGTTTTAGTTAGTTCAGATCTTATATTTTCTTATACGCTTTGATTCTGGGCCATTCCTGATATATCCAAAGTTCGTGTTGGGCTTTCGGATCTACGGGATTTACCCCCAACATTGGCGCCGTCTGTGGGAAACTTGCAAAAAGTTTCACTTTCTAAACATCCAAAAAACCTCTATTTTTCAAAAATGGTCAGAATCAGTTCCTATCATACAAACGACGGTTTACACCGTCACGGGAGGAGTCACACCCCGGGGAGTCAAAACCCTCAGGGACAATCCAGTCGAGGATCGTATCCTCGTTTTAATGGGGATTTTGTGATTCCCGAATCTCTGAGAAGAAATCCTCAGGCCATGCGTGACATGGCCCAATTCATGCAGCATATGGCGAACGAAGAGGAAGGAGGTTCCAGCTTTACAGGAGAAACTCCACGCGCGGAAACAACCACAGCGTCATCCCGTTCGCATGCCCATCAGGATAATCGACGTAGCACCCCACCAGCAGCGCATCCCAGTTCCAGTGACCGAACCCCGGTCGGGTCACAAGCTAGAGGACCAACTCCCGTCGGTCATCATTTCCAGTATGCCGAGCGGGAAAATACTAGGGCCCCTCAGCGGCATTGGGATCGGGACTGTACGGATATGAGGGTTCCACCACCGCCCCCTTTGACGGCCCAGGAGGAAGAGATGGCCGAGATGAGGAGGCAAATGAATGAAATGCGGGACCAGATGAACAGGGTACCTGTACAACCTGCACCAGTTCAGCTGGGAATTACTTCCCCGTTCACTAGGGAGCTCATGTACGCGGATATCCAAGGGGGTGACAAGCCCCCGACCGGCCAAATTTATGATGGGGTGGGAGATCCCCACGTACATCTGAGGAGTTACCAAGGGGGACTTATGCTGCTAGGAGCACCCGAGGCCGCCATTTGCGGGTTGTTTTTCAGCATGCTCAAGGGGCCTGCCCTGGAATGGTTCGGGACACTGCAACCCGGGTCAATCAACAGCTTTGCCGAGTTATCAGCGTTATTCTTGGCTCAGTTTGCTTCCAGTGCCAATCCCAAACGGCATTTCAGCTATTTAACCAGCGTGAAGCAAAAACGCCAAAGAGACCCTCAACCAGTTCCTGAAAAGGTGGAGGGATGAGACTTTAACAGTGGGAAACATGACGGATGATACCGCCATTACCCTGTTCACGAATGCTCTCCGAACAGGGGAGTTGTACAAAGAATTGAAGAAAAATCCAGGTACGGTGTACGCCGAGGTATTAGATAGGGCCTGCAAGCATGCCGCCCTAGAAGAGGAGATAATGATCAGGGATAAGGTCATTACGCCTGCTGCCCCTATCAGAATGGCCGATCGGCTGGGTCCTAGCCCAGCGGCCGCTTTACCTCCCAAACAAGGGAGATTTACATCCCTGGTCCTATCAATAGTGACCATCTATCAGCACGAGAGGGACAATATTCCCACCCCGACTGATTCTGGACAGTTCATGGGAACGGATGACAATGCTTTCTGTAAATATCACAACAGAAAGGGTCATGCCACCAATGCCTGCAGGGCCCTACAAACAGCAATTGAGGATCTGATCCGAAGGGGCCATCTGGGCAAATATGTGAACAAAGATCCGAATGCTATGGGCACGTTGAAACCGGCCAGGAAACCTAATAGCTGGCGCCGGGATGCTCAACGTGACGCCCAGCCTCAAAATGATGTGTATGTTCCTCCCAGGGATGAGCCAGAGGGCTCGGGAGGCCCTGGAAAGAAGCCTCGAATGGAGGTCAAGGTTATATTCGGGGGCGGGGAGACCGGAGATTCGAACGCCGAACGGAAAAGGTTCGAGCGAAGTCTTTATGTGGGATCCGTCTCCACCCCCCCCCCCCCCCTCAGAAGAAAGGTAGGACAGACCCGATCACGTTCGGGCCAGCTGATCTACCTAACTCTCCAAGCCCACACAGGGACGAACTGGTGGTAAGCATGTGTATTGACAATGCTTTGATCCGCCGAGTACTGGTTGATACTGGGAGCAGTGTGAATGTATTGTATCTACAATCATTCGAGAAAATGGGTCTACAAAGGATCCAACTGACCCACCTACGGACCCCATTGGCAAGTTTCACCGGTAACTGCGTCGAGGCGGAAGGGACCATCCAATTAATGGTTGAAATTGGGGATGAAACCCACAGAGCGTCACTCTGAATGACGTTCGTGGTGGTAGATATAAAGTGCGCCCACAATGCCATATTGGGCCGACCGGGATTGGAAGATCTGGAGGCAATAGCCTCTGTCCGCCACTCATGCATCAAATTCCCTACAGACACTGGGGTAAGGGTGGCCAGAACTGACCCAACAACAGCCCGGACATGTTATCGGGAGGCCCTGAAACAGATGAACACTCGTGGGATGCGGGTGAATACAATTGAGGTGGAAACCCACTGAACGGAGTTCGAGGCACACCCAGAGCCCGCCACCTTTCTTGAACAAATCGACCTCGACTCCCCCCCGAACCGTAAGGTGGCTATCGAGGTAGATCTGGAGGCTGATATCCGGGATGGCGTGATCGCCGTCCTCAAAAAGTTTCAGGTGCTGTTTGCCCGGGGACCAGAAGATATGCCCGACATTGATCCAGAAATAATATGTCACAAACTTGCCGTTCGGTCTGATGCAAAACCAGTCCAACAGAAGAAACGGTATCAAGCAACCGAACGGCGGGAATTCACAAAGAAGGAGGTGGCCACCTTGCTAAGGATAAAGCACATCCGTCCGGTAATCCACGTAGAATGGCTATCCAATGTGGTTCTAGCCCCAAAACAATCTACCTGGAGAATGTGCGTGGATTACTCTGACCTGAATAAAGCGTGCCCCATGGATCCCTACCCAGTGCCGAGGATCGATCTGCTAGTGGATGAAACTGCCGGATGTGAGTTACTGAGCTTCATGGATGCTTTCCGGGGTTATCATCAGATATTCATGCACCCGGCCGATGCAGAGAAAACGACGTTCGTTACTTCGGATGGCGTGTTTTGCTACATCGTCATGCCATTCGGATTGAAGAACGCAATGGCAACCTTCCAGAGGATGATCGGGATGCTGTTCAAAGATGTGCTGGGTGTCACAATGGAAGCCTACGTTGATGACATCCTGATCAAAAGCAAAAAGAAGGAAAACCATGTCCTGGATATAGAAAAGGTGTTCGGGATAATGCAAAAGGCGAATATGAGGCTGAATCCCAAGAAATGTGTGTTTGCTGTAAGAGGAGGCAAATTTTTGGGGTACATGATGAGCGAGAGGGGATTGAGCCCAATCCAGAAAAAGTAAAGGCAATTGTGGACATGGAGGCTCCGAGAAATCTCAAGGAAGTGCAGAGATTGACCGGTCGGTTAGCAGCCCTGAGCAGATTCCTATCCAAACTGGCCGATCGAGCTATCCCGTTCTTCCAAATCATGAAGAAAGCCAACCCTTTTGAATGGACGGCCGAATGCCAAACAGCCTTTGAAGATTTCAAGACATATCTGTCTTCCCCCCTGGTCTTGACAAAACCCGAACCAGGGGAACATCTGTATATGTACCTTGATGTAGCTGACTTGGCCGTAAGCACAGTATTGTTGAAAGAAGAAGATGACGTTCAACGGCCAATCTATTTTGTGAGCACGGCGTTGAACGGCCCGGAAACCAGGTACACCTTTCTAGAGAAGAATGTACTGGCCCTGATAGCTGCCATTAAACGTCTGGCCCCGTATTTCCAGACCCACCCGGTAACTGTGTATACTACCCAGCCATTAGCCACCATCTTGAGAAATCCTATGGCAAGTGGGCGCATTACCAAGTGGAGCCTCCTGATCGGGCAATACGAGGTAGATTTCAAACCCTGACCTACTATCAAAGGGCAGGCCCTGGCAGATTTCATTGCAGAATGTACCGCCCGACCCTCAGAAAAAGATTCAGAGAACAACGGGCTGGATAACTGGTGGGAAATGTATGTGGATGGAGCATCTAGTGCCAAAGGTTGTGGAGCTGGAGCTGTGATCACATCGCCCGAGGGGTTCAAAGCATATTATTCTATTCATTTTGACTTCAAGGTGACCAACAATGAGCTTGATTATGAGGCTCTCATTGCTGGTTTAAAGTATGCAAGGGCCCTAGGTGTCGATCGATTAAAAGTCCGATCGGACAGTCAATTGGTGGTACATCAAGTAAACGGCACTGCTGAGGCCAAAGAAGAAAGGATGAAGGCCTACAAGGAAATGGTTGAGGAGCAGATACGTAAATTTGAACAGGTGGTGCTCGATCAAATATCCAGGATTGAAAATACTGAAGCAGATATCCTGTCCAAATTAGAGAATGCAGCGTTCGACGATCGGGCACAGGAGATCCCGGCTCATATCCAACGTTTTGCCCATCGGGAAACCTTGGCGACCCCGGCAATCATGGTGCTCCAGATCGAGGCCATATCTTATGCCGTCCCGAGCTGGGTCATAGATATGACCAACTACCTAAAAGACGGAACCCTCCCACAAGATAAAAATCCTGCTTATCAAATAAAATGCATCCAGAGGAGGGCTTCCATGTTCGAATTGGTGGACGGGCAGCTGTACAAAAAGACATTTGGTGGGCCGTATCTGAAATGCCTCCCACCCGATCTAGCGGCAGCTGTAATGGAAGAAATTCATGAAGGTATCTGTTCCAGCCACCAAGGGCCCAAGACACTGGCCAGAAAAATCATCTTGCAAGGGTATTATTGGCCAACTATCCAACAGGACTGCTTTGCACATACTAGGAAATGTAAGGTATGCCAACTATATGCACCGGTCCCTAGACGGCCTGCCACTTTCTACACTCCAATTACGGTGGCCCTTTCATTCGCAAGATGGGGAATAGACCTGTTAGGTCCTCTACCTACGGCCCCAGGAAACAACAAGTATATCATCGTGGGGATAGATTACTTTACCAAATGGGTAGAGGCCGAGCCACTGGCCAGCATCACAGATGTTAAATGTCAGAAGTTTGTCTGGAAAAATATCATTTG